CCTAAACCCCAAACCCCAAACCCTAAACCCCAAACCCCAAACCCCAAACCCTAACCCCAAACCCTAAACCCCAAACCCCAAACCCTAAACCCCAAACCCCAAACCCTAACCCCAAACCCTAAACCCTAAACCCTAAACCCCAAACCCTAAACCCTAAACCCTAAACCCAACGGCCAGGACTCATGGCCAGAGGCGGAGCCTGAGGAGATCCAGCCGAAGCGCAAGGCTCCTGCAACCCGATGGTCCCTGATAAGCCGGCTTTGTGGGGCTTAGGGTTTAGGGTTTAGGGTTTAGGGTTTAGGGTTTAGGGTTTAGGGTTTAGGGTTTAGGGTTTAGGCCTGTTTAGGGTGGTTTCATGGGCCCTTCATGTGGTAACTTACCTTCCTTCAAGGGTTCTGAAGTATGGGCCCTTGGGTTTCCTCCTGTACACAAGGGGAATAGAAGGGTCCCCCTTTTAAGGGCCCATACGAAGGGACCATGTGGCTGCATCAGGGTTTCCGGGCTGAAGATGACCTGCAAGACAAGTGGCTTCGGTTTGGTGTGCGCGTGCTCATACCCCGTCAGGAGCCTGGGATGCGATGACGGCTTCGAGGTTAAGGGCTCCTCATGAGCAGCTGACAGTGTTTATGAGGAACCTTAGGTGTAGAATTCTACAACGGCCTTTGGGGCTTGGGTTACACCCCAAACCCTAAACCCTTACACCCCAAACCCTAAACCCCTAAACCCTCAACCCTCAACCCTAAACCCCAAACCCAGGCACCCACCACAAAGCCAAGCCCTGCTTGGACGCCCTTGGAGGCCACTTTGCGCAGGGCCTGGGGCTTCGGGATGGTTTTGGGTTTTGGGTTTTGGGTTTTGGGGGTAGGGGCTAGGGTTTAGGGGATAGGGTTTAGGATTTTCGGGTTTAGGGCTTAGGGTTTAGGGTTGAGGTTTTTTCTTGGGTGCTTGGTTCGGCAGAATATGGGAAGATCATCAGTGCACCAGAGAGGAACTAAGGCTCCAGGTGTTTCCAGGGGTTTAGGGGGTTGAGGGCTTTAGGGATTTTGGGGTTTAGGGATTTAGGGGCTTAGGGTTGCCTGAAGCCGACCCTGAGGCTCGGAGACTCCCCATGACTCTTGTTTTTCAAGGCTTTTGGGCCCAAAGGCCTTGTTACACAACTTCCTTCAAAGGCCCTTGGGATGCTTCGGCTATCTAAGGGGGAATATGAGGGGTCCCCTTTTTAAGGGCACATATGAAAGGGGCCATGTAACTACCCGAAGCGAGCCTAGGGCTTAGGGTTCAGGGGGCTATGGTTTTCGGGGTTTACGGTTCGAGGCTTGTAAACTTTTTCGGGCCACGGGCTGGTATGGCCTGAGCTGGCTCAAAAGCTGGGTGCTTTTGGAGGTTGAGCCCCCTAAACCCCAAGCTCCTAAACCCTAAGCCGTTTACCCTCAACTCTACATGGTCGAGAGGCACCACCCGTAGATCGGAATGCTTAAACCCTAAACCCTAAACCCTAAAACACTGAACCCTAAACCCCAAACCCCAAACCCTAAACCTAGAACAGAAGATATTACGGCAAGCATGGTTTCGTACTTGCAGGACGGCAGTCGACGAAGATCTGCGCACCCGGAATCCAGGTATTGGGCTTTCGGAAACACTAGCCCCAAGCTAGCCTCCAAAATCCTAAGCCCTAGACCCGAAACCCAAAACCCTAAACCCTAAACCCTAAACCCTAAACCCTTAACCCTAAACCCTAAACCCTAAACCATTCTCTTCTTTCTCAGGGCGGCCCCAAAGCCTTCGACCTTAAATCCCAGCTGAAACCCGGTCCGCAGGCACACCGGCAGGCCACACAGGACGGCAGGTGCGAAGGGTTTAGGGTTTAGGGTTTAGGGTTTAGGGTTTAGGGTTTAGGGTTTAGGGTTTAGGGTTTAGGGTTTAGGGTTCCAGCTTAGAGCATTTTGGGGTTCAGGGTTTAGGGCTTGTAGAAGTTCGGGGTTTTCGGCCTGAGGGTTTAGGGTTTAGGGTTTAGGGTCTAGGGTCTAGGGTCTAGGGTCTAGGGGGGTGTTTGGGCAGAGGGTTTAGGGGTCCGGGTGCTTAGGTTTCGAGTTCACGCAAGGTTAGTAATAGGGAAAGCGTCCTTTGCAAACACACAGAAGATGTCCATAACCGAAACTTTGAGGAAACCCATGCCAAAATGAATGTGCAGGGTTCAGGGTGCGAGGGTCCTAAACCCACGCAGGCAAAGGCTTCAAGACTTTTGTGGCTTGTGCGAGTCAAGGCTTAGGGTTTGAAACCCTTTGGTTTTGGATTTAGGTTATTCTAGGTAGGGATTTGTTGAGTTCTGCTTGCAGGTTCAGTTCAGGGTACGCACAACCCCAATTAGAACTTTACTTACAAGCCGCCTAAGTCCCTAAGTAGGTTAGCAGTCGACATGTAATTGGGGTTACACGTACTCCAAGTGGTTCTGTTTGAGCCCCCCCACGCAACGCTAAACCCCAAACCTATAAACCCTAAACCCAAACCCTAAACCCCAAACCCTTAACCCCAAAACCCAAACCCCAAACCCCAAACCCTAAACCCCAAACCCCAAACCCCAAACCCCAAAACCCCAAACCCCAAACCCTAAACCCCAAACCCTAAACCCTAAACCCCAAACCCTAAACCCCAAACCCTAAACCCAAACCCCAAACCCCAAACCCTAAACCCCAAACCCCAAACCCTAAACCCCAAACCCTAAACCCCAAACCCTAAACCCTAAACCCCAAACCCTAAACCCCAAACCCCAAACCCCAAACCCTAAACCCCACACCCTAAACCCTAAACCCTAAACCCCAAACCCCAAACCCCAAACCCTAAACCCCAAACCCTAAACCCTAAACCCTTAACCCTAAACCCTAAACCGGCCATCCCAACTCCACAGGTCTGCCGGTGTGGCGGCGTTGCGGGCGGCCAAGGCGGACGTTGCGGCGGAGCAGTCGCTGCAGAGCTTGGAGGCGGACTTAGGGCTCAGGGTTTAGGGTTTGGGGTTTGGGGTTTAGGGTTTGGGGTTTGGGGTTTGGGGTTTGGGGTTTGGGGTTTAGGGTTTAGGGTGTGGGTTTGGGGTTTAGGGTTTGGGGTTTAGGGTTTGGGGTTTGGGGTTTAGGGTTTAAGGTTTAGGGTTTGGGGTTTAGGGTTTGGGGTTTGGGGTGTGGGGTTTAGGGTTTAGGGTTTAGGGTTTAGGGACTTCGGGGCGGGGCTTCAGAGTCCAGTGCTCAGGGCATTTATAGGGCTGTATGTGGGGCTTCGTGGGCGCTCCCGAAACTGTGGAGAGACATCCCAAACCCTAGACCCTGCCCTGAACCCTGAACCCTAAACCCTAAACCCTAAACCCTAAACCCTAAACCCTAAACCCTAACCCTAAACCCTAAACCCGAATGTTCGGGTGTAAGGGGGTTAATATTAAGGGGGAAGGGATTACTGGCTGTTCTTGGCGCCAGGGCTGCGAGCGCAGTAAAAGCACCCTCAATCTCTTCCGAGTTCATGTCGAAGTCCGGTTTAGGGTTTAGGGTTTAGGGTTTAGGGTTAGGGTTTAGGGTTTACGGTTTAGGCTTAGGGTTTAGGGCAACGTGCAGACGGTGAAGCACGTCAGAAGGTGGAACGCCACCAAATGTCGGGGCCTGTGGGGCCTAGTTGCAGCTTCGGGCTCAGGGTTGCGAGCTTTTGGGCTTTGGGGTTTAGGGTTTAGGGTTTAGGGTTTAGGGTTTAGGGCTTCACCCCCAAACCGAGACTTTTAACCGATAAGCTGAGAATCCTGATCTTCGGGTTTGGGGCCAAAAGGCCCTTAGGGCTTTACGGTTTAGAGTCTGCAGTTTTACGAGCGTAGGATGATTAGGGGTTTATAGGGCGCCAGGGATGCTAGGTCTGGGTTTAGGGGCTTAGGGTGTACTTGGAGATTCGGGGGTGCTTGTAAACCAAGCAGAACTGGACTTATACACCCACCTATAAGCCCCTTAAGTGCCCTACTAGGGTTAGAATTTGGGTTATACGTACAGTTATCACCCTGAACCCTACACCCTAAACCCTACACCCTAAACCCTAAACCCTACACCCTAAACAGGTACAGATATACTTGGTTAATAAGTACCCTGAATCATCAAGCAGGGTGCAGTTGTCATCACAGGCTCGGCCTCGCCCCAACGGATCGTGACCCGGCACACGCGATGCAGTGCCCATGAGAAGGGTTTAGGGTTTAGGGTTTGGGTTTTGGGTTTTGGGTTTTGGGGTTTGGGGCGTAGGGTTTGGCATGTGCTCGAACACAGCAGAACCCTTTATGGTCAAAATACAGCAGAACCCTTTATGGTCAAAATACGGTTTAGGGTTTTTTTGTGGATGACTATGGCCAGGTTCTTTAGTATTGTCGGGGTATAGTGGGGATACCACTTCTCTGGCTTTGCCCGTATAAAAACTCATGTCATCATGGAATATCTAGTGGTAGGATATTGCTCTCCCCGTTCGGTTTTAGGAATTTGCGGGCTTTATACAGGATGCACGGTGCAGGGTGCCTCAAACCCTCAACCCTCGATCAACCCTCAACCCTAAACCCTAAACCCTAACCCTAAACCCTAAACCCTATAACCCTAAGCCCTAAGCCCTAAGCCCTAAGCCCTAAACCCTAAAACCAAAACCGGCTGACCAGGCCCACGGATTGTAGACGCGCTGCTCAGCAAGACTCTCGCACGGTCGGCTGGCAAACTCCCAAGGACAGTTTCTCGACAACCCTCGAGCTAAAGGCTGGTTGAGATACCACGAGTTCACGAAATCCCTCAACTGCAACCTCCTGAACCCCTCAACCCGAAGACTGCAAAAACCCTGAGCCTTGACACGCTACACCCCAAACCTACACAGGCTTCCAAAGACCGATCTGTGGAAGCTCTTACTGGAGATGCCCGGCTACCCAAAGCTGCCGTAAACTGTAAACCCTAAACCCTGAGCTTTTGCAAGTCACCTGCAGATGCCATGGGTATCCGGTGAACTCCATGAAGTTGTCTGCTATCCTGGCCACCCTAGTATTCCTTGCCGCAGTCTTCCTGTTGGTCGGTGGAATCTATCGAAGCCATCACAAGTTCTTGGGCCAAACCCTGCACGGCTGCACCAACTATGGAAGTCGGGATGTTCCAAGAGGTCCGCCCTCACAGTCAGATATCGGCTTCAGCAAGCAGCTTCCGGCCCACTGGTTACGGACCATCGTGATTCCAGACGCCAAGCTGATCTTTTGTCCTCAGTACAAAGTGGGCACCAGAGAGTACTTGCGGCTTCTGCAATGGCTGGATGGTCAGGACTATAATCGTCGTCCGCAGGAGCAGACCCATAGTGTTAGGAGAAACAGCTTCAATCTGACAGAGTTGGAAGAGTTTGGAAACGAAGCTGCTTTGCGCATGATGTTCGACTCAGACTGGGCTAAGTTGGTCGTTGTCCGTGATCCGCTGGATCGCTTGCGCTCAGCATATTTCGATAAGATACGCCGCGAAAAAGCGCCCACAAAATTTGCGAAGGCACTGAATGTACCAGTTCAGGCTCTGAAGAACTTAAGCTTTGCTGCTTTTGTGAGAAGAGTCGGTGCTCAAATGAAGCGCAAGGTGGCGAATATCCACTGGGGGATGCAGGCGCAAGCATGCGGCTTGAGGCGTTTCAAGAAGTGCTACCAATATGTGCTGCACATGGGCCTCGACAAGGGCACCCATCCGATGTTGCGTGATTGTGTACTTCGGATCATGGTGAGCAGACGGAGCGACTCAAAGCTCCCCACGCCGCAAGACATTGTTGCCTCTGACACAACCAAAGGCATACTGCAAAGGCACCAGACTGACTCAAGCCTCGACATCTTCGACAAGATCTATGATAAGGCAGGATGGGCTATTCGGCCTTATAATCCTCACAAGCAGCCCTATAAATGGCCTGTTTAAGGGGTTATGGGGTGTACTAGCCCGTCCTGATAAGGCCACTTGCACACGGGCTCTCCGCATCTACGCGGAGGACTACGACCTTTTCGCGCTGCCCAGGCCTACCTGTCATGACACTCCCCCTCGTGTAAGGTGGCCAGTGTAGCTGAAACTCCTGAGGGGCCCTAAACCCTAAACCCTACACCCTAAACCCTAAACCCCCTAAACCCTAAACTCTGCCAACCAGGGTCTACGTAAGGGGAGGTGTACGATCCAAAGCTGTCAGTTGCATTTCACGGATGCACCCGCGATGGGCTGCGCATGCACAAGATCGGATGTGGTGCAAAAAGCGTGCGCGAGTCTTCCTGAAGCAAGGTCATGGGTTTTGATCGGAATGATGGGGCGATTTTGGCTGGGCTTTGCCAGCGTGAGGTCCCTGTAATTCTTGGGGGTCGTCATTGTCCCAGAGGCCTCAGCCTCCCACCCCAGAAGTGATCATTTGTCAAGTAGCAGATGGAGCATGACGTATACCTACTGGCTCTTAGTAGGGAAGGAGGGAATTAGGTACCTTATATCCCCCTATATTTACCCTTCTAGGGTACCTAATTCTAAACCCTAAAACCTAAACCCTAAACCCTGGCGGGGTTAAGGGTCTATAGGGTTACGGGGAGGGGCGGGAGGGAGTATCTCGATGTCCGAGCTTGCGTGAGTAGATAACATAGTCTGAGAGATGCATATATATATATATGTCTACACGCAACATATGTCCGTTTTCAAGAAGTATATATATATACATATACGCACATACATATATACATATAATGGAATGTTAGTTCTCTTTTAAGGGGTTCCAGAAGCACAAAACTCGCAAGCATTGCTGTAAACGGAGCCTAATGTTGAACTGATGCAGGTGATAAACTGCATATTCTTTTGAGAAGAGAAGACCTTAACACAGGACCCCCCCTCATTCCTGGGAAATCCTGATTTTTGGGGCGGCCGCGGGCATTTAGGGTTTACGCAGGGAGGCCTCCAAAAGGGTACAGGGTTTAGGGTTTAGGGTTTTGGGTTTAGGACAAAGAAACAAGGTATATAACCCTAAACCTTAAAGCCGTAAAGTCTTCTCTGGCAGGTCTTCATGGCATTGGGGTTTGCTAGGGGTTTAGGGTCAGTGCCCTGCATAAACTTGAAGATCCAACCCCTATAGAGGCCAAGGAGTCTCCTTGGAACGGTGTAGGGTTTAGGGTTTAGGGTTTAGGGTTTGGGGTTTGGGGTTTAGGGTTTAGGGGTTTAGGGGGTATAAGCCTTCTTGCCACCCTAAACCCTAAACCGTACACCCTAAACCCTACACCCTAAGCGCACTCCCTTGCTCAGGAACCCGGAGACCGCTACCTTCCAACGCCGAGGGACGGTACGGGGGGCCGCACCAGAGGAGACCGGGGGGCGGGACTTAGGGTTCGTATTCTGGGGGGTTGGGAGTGGGGTTTAGGGTTTAGGGTTTAGGGTTTAGGGTTTAGGGTTTAGGGTTTAGGGTTTACCCAAACACCCTAAACCCCAACCCTGACCCAAAAATCTCCAAAGCCCCGCAAGCCCGAAACTCCCACGCCTCAAGAGGGTTTCGGGTTTAGGGTTTAGGGCCCCTGAACCCTAAACCCTAAACCCTAAACCCTAAACCCTAAACCCTAAACCCTAAACCCTGAACCCTGAACCCTAAACCCTAAACCCTAAACCTAAACACTACACAGTAAACCCCCAGCCCCGCCCCGCCCCGCCCAAAAGGAGTCCCGGGCTTTGCAGAAGACGAATCGCGAGAGCGCGCCGGAGCCCGACGTCCGGTCCCGAAGCGGTATTGGGGATTGAGTCTTGTGTGTTAAAGGGCTTAGGGGGTTTAAGGTTGGGTTTAGGGTTTAGGGTTTAGGGTTTAGGGTTTAGGGTTTAGGGTTTAGGGTTTAGGGTTTAGGGTTTAGGGTTTAGGGTTTAGGGTTTAGGGTTTAGGGTTTAGGGTTTAGGGTTTAGGGTTTAGGGTGTCGAGTTTAGGGTTGGCTGAAGGTAAACTGGCTTATCGGGTTAGGGATACACGGGGTCGAGAGGCTTCGTTTTTGGTTTTAAAGGTTTTGTTTAGGCGCCACTCTTGGTTTGAGGATTGTTGCCGCAAGGGTAGTGGTAAAGGTTTCGGAGGTTTAGATTTGCTTTATGTGTGCATTTACGGGTGCCTTGAATAGAAGGGCTTGTGTCATGAGAATAGCAACCCCAAGCAGGAACGTTTTGTAGAATTCCCGCATGATTCTAGGAATCTTCTTGCATGACCTGAAACCTCCGGGCCAGGAGCTTGCTTTGTAACTACCCTGAACCCTAAACCCTAAACTCTCAAGCACTGCTTGCTGACCTAAACCCTAAACCCTAAACCCTAAACCCTAAACCCTAAACCCTAAACCCTAAACCCTAAACCCCATGGTCACTCCCAGCCTTAAAACCCCCAAAGTCCCCATCAAACCCGAACTCCTTTGGCTTAGCACGGGAAGAATCCTGGAACTCGGGCAGGGGGCCCCTCTGTAGCATGATTCAGCGAATGTTAGGGTTTAGGGTTTAGGGTTTAGGGTTCAGGGTTTAGGGTTTAGGGTTTAGGGTTATAGGTTAGAGGTTATAGGGTTTAGGTTCCTTGAGTATGCTCCCCCCATGATACTAACAGTCCTTAATAGGGATTGGAATGGGGGGGGGGGGTACATTATAGGTGGGAGCGCCCCTTACGCGACGGGCGCGTTCCATTCGTTTTGGCGATTCTGGTTGATTCTCGGGTTGGGTTGGGGGTGGGGGGGGGGGGGGGGGGTTACGTGCTTTTCGAGAGCACAGGGGTTCATGTTGTAGGTTTCGGGTGCACTCTCTACGTAGTTTTAATATTATTGCGGGCACTATTGTTCTCTTCATTTCGCCCGCATATTATTTTCTTCTTTCTAATGTTCATTTCGTACACTTGTAATATAATTCACGCGTGTACTCATTCACACACCCAGACAGTAGAATAATGGGGGAAAAAGACCACTTCGTTCACGAGTTTACGCACTAATATGAATACGGTTCATTCACAGGTTTGGTTAATAATTCCAGGGTTTTTAGTGCGTCCATTGAACCTCAGCTCCTTCATGTCTTACCGCGTAAACGCATGAATCCTATGTTTCACTACTTTTAATGAGTGTACGAACCTGTAGAAAGTGCGTGAAAACCGCTCTAAAGATAGAAACCCGGGCCATAATTCTATATCTTCATGAAGAACCCCGTATAATTCTCTTATTCACATAGTAAACCTTAGGACGTTCCCCTAATATTATATTCGTTCTCTATTAGTAATATTCCCTAGAGATTGGATATGCAATAATATTATAAGGAATGAAGGGAACGATGAAAGGGCTTTTTAATAAGTCTTTAGGAGCTAGACCAAATCCCCCAAAACACCTCTAAAAACCTTAGAATTATGTGCTCTTTGCCTTCATTTCTAGGGTCATTCATTGGTTTACAAAAAGCCCAAACATTAGGATTACGAAGAGAAAGCCGAATTAAATTATAACGAATGAAATGAGGCATGAATTTAATAAAGGATTTCGTACTAACTCCTTAATAATAGAAAGTCCATAGAATATTGCACTCAGATGTGTTCAGAGCTCTCTCCAAGCTGTGCCAAGCTGCCAACAAGTGCAGCTGAACAAAGTTTCTCAGACGGTCCGCGGCAAAATGTGCTTTTTGCCTAGGCGGGAACGTCATGGTCGCTCGAAAATAGACACTGTTACACACTTTCGGCCCCTGCAACATAGCAATTCTTAAGCAGACATGTGCGTTTTGCCTGGGTTTCAGCACATTCCACATTCTGGCCATGCCAAAAAACACACGTCGCGCTACAGGCGCTCCTACCACATTATAATCCCTATGAAGGACGGTTAGGTTAAGGGGGAACATCCCAAAATGTTCCACACATGTGATGCCATAGACCCTTCCTTGGTTGTGTAATGCACGGTGCATGTTATAGGACAAGTCGTAGTGGACGCGCACGTGCGATACCTACCCTGCAGCGTTGAACAGTGGCAGTGTAGGCCCTGGGGTGAGTTGTAAAGAGGATATGCACTCCATACACGACGAGGAAAAAGAGAGTCCGCTGTGCCAGTTGCATGTTAGGTAGGAGCGAATACCTTCGCGTTGTTGTGTGTGTGCGCCTAGCGAGACTTGTCTGGGGTTTCCATGCCCTGAAGCCTGAGCCCAAACCCCGAAACACTGATGGCCAACCTCTATCCCGCAACGCTAAAACCTTCAGCGCTGCAAACCCTAAACCCTACACCCTAAGCATTGAAACCCTAAACCCGAAACCCCAAACCCCAAACCCCTGGACCCTAAACCCCCTTTGTTGTGGACGTGCGTTTTTTTGGGGATCTAGAGCTTCATCTCAGGGGTTCGGGGACCACCCAATGCCGATATTGAGGCCACAGGAGCTCAGCGATCCGCTGCCGAGGCGGTTTTGGGTTTTAGGGTAGTTTTTAGGGGTTTGGGGGTTTCGGGTTTAGCGTTTATAGGGTTTAGGGCCGCAGGGTTTAGCGTTTTGGGTTTAGGGTTTAGGGTTTGCTGTAGTATGGCACAGAAGCTGCGAAGCTAGTCTGCATCCGCTTCGAAAGCTTCGTGAAATGCGAAGAGCAGCCACGGCCCGATGGTGGACGGCCATCTAAACATTTATGCCACCCTACGCAGTCTCAGGCACCCTAACCTATTCCTTTTACTACTAATTGCTGAATTTTTAAAGGTAATATAGGGACTTTTTTCTTTTGGAGTTTTTAAGCAGATAGTAGTTTAGGGTTTAGCCTAAACTCAATTTTCTATGGCCTTCCTGAGATGCCCCTGCGACTGGGGCCTGAAACCTTGAGACCCACTCCTTGCGGGCCTGCTCTGCGATCCGCGCAGGGCCTTCCTTGACCGTAGCCTTGGGACCCCTCACAACCTTAGGGTTTAGGGTTTAGGGTTTTGGGTTTAGGGTTTAGGGGTTCCAGGAA